TCCCATTACTATTGTTGTAAGTATATTATATATAAATACGTAAAATTAAATATATGTAAAAGTTTGATATTCTTTCAATTTTGAATGGAATTTTTTTATAAAATAAATATTTTATAAAAAAAATTATGGATGAAATATTAATTAGCTATCTTATCATATGTTAACTATGTTCAAGGTCAATATAAATATAGTAATATTATATCAATTGATACATCAATAATGCTAACGAATGATGACACAAGTGGTTGAGATTTAAGAATTTGAGTTTGTAAGGTTAAATTCGAATTCTACTACCGTCATTCTTGGTGGACAATCTATAAATAAAAATAATTTATTCATCAATAATTTAAATAAGTAAAAGCTATAATAGCACAGTGAATATTCAACAAGAATGTAGATACCATTTATGATATTATCTTATAAATAAATGTATTTTTTATTTCTATGATAATTATTTTAATATGCAATCTCAAGAAAGCAATGTTTAAGCTTTAGGTCGGTTGCAATACACTGTTTTTTATATATATTTTTTATGTGGGATTTTCATTTATACAAAAGAGAAGACGGCAGATGACGCCAGGGCATACGTGTTTTGAATGGGAGACACGTTTTAAATTATGGAATTTCAGTATAATAAATAGGATAAACTACAGTGGTACACTAAAATTTTAAAGATATTTTAACTTTGATCATCAAGATTGAAACGTTTACATTTCGATCACAATCTTTTAAACGGCTAACAACAGCTGAATCAGCATGCCCATAAGAAAACGAAACGTTTCATCACCTCGTTGATAGAAAATTAAGAGAAAATAGGAAATAAGAAATGGATCAAATTTTGATTATTGGAGAAAGGTTTCCAGCACCCTACTACTAGACTAAGTTTGAGGCTTTGTTATGAAATTTCAGTATAATAAATATGATAAATTACATTGACGGTCACTAAATTTCAGTAATGCTTATACACTATCCTACATTGAGTGGGAAATACTATTGACATTGGTATTTGTAGTGTTTCACAAAGGGGAAAAAATAACAAGAAACCCTAAAAAGGAGAGCATATAAGTGACGAAACAAGAAATTAAAGTTTAATATATATGGGATTCAGAATAAGAAATGAAAGAGTTTTGGGAGATGGGGATAAACTTGCGGCAGAGAAAAGGAGGAGGCAAGAGAATAAATGAAAGCAAACCCTAAACAATATATATACACAATGGCATTTTCGTAAATAAGTTAAAATATATAATACAATTAAAAATATCCGGGTCGGGGTCGGTTCAGATTTTTTAGACCCATAACATGACTCCGACCTGAACCTAAAAATCTTACACAGTAAATCCGACTCGACTCAAACCTGATTTTTAAAAAAGAAATATGCTCATATCAGGTCAGATCCAGGTGAATTTGCCATCTTTACGTGCACCGTCTGCCGTTCGTCTCGTCTCATCTCGTGACTCGTGGCAAGACGTGTATATTTATTTTATAGGCTGCACAATGATCTCTTCGATTTAAATTTTCAGAGGGTATCAACTGATTAATTAGTTGTCGTTTTATTTATGTAAAATTAAAATCGTAACAATAAGTTTTTGAAATTCTATTTATGAACGTTAAATCACAAATTTGGACTGCTTTGTGGTTATGTTCATTTGTTTATGAAAACAATTTCAAAAGAGATTAAATTCGAAAATTAAACTAGATTTGTTTATGAACTTTTTATTTTATTTTATCCAACATAGACCAAAGATTGAATAACAATATATATATATATGCAAATCATGTTAATTGTAGGATCTGTTATTAGATGAGTGTTTTTTAAATGTTTTGATTAAAGATTATAAAAATATAAAAAAAATAAAAGGATTAGGTACATGATTGATCCTTTTATTTGTATTTTTTCATTTTTTTTCTCATTGGTTTTGAAAAACATAATATATAGGGTAAAGTTATAAACAGTCTCCTAGAGCGCAAAGCTCTTAACCTTGTGGTCGTGGGATCGAGTCTCACGGTGGGCAATTTATAATTTTGACTGTTGGAGGTCTCCCACGGAAATTGCACTCAACCTAGCGTTTGGGGCAGTCTACTATCCTATCTCCCCCTTATCCCATTACATATGGGAATAGGGTCAGCTAATTTTTTTATATAAACAGTCTCCAAACTTTTAAGGTGCTTGTATTTTGGTCACCCAACTTTTGAAACTTGTAATATAGTCATTGAACTTTGAGTTTGTTTTCAAAATGATCCCTATCTTTACCTTGTGTCAGTTTTTGTTGACGTGGCATGTTAACTCCGTTAAAATAACACCCCCCAGGTCTTCTTCTTCTTCTTCTTCCTTCTTGTGATTGTTGTTGTTGTTGTTGCACAGTGGTTCAGAGATTGTTTGCAAAACTAACAGGGATTCAAACTGGTCTAATCGAGGACAAGCTGGGATGGACCATGGCCATAGATTAACCCCCTATTTAATATGTTTGGTTCTCTAAACTTCCAATCAATAAAATGTTGTGTACTTTCAGACACAAGGTGAAAACCAGTGCCCTGTGTTAAAGATCAGATCAGTAACAGTAAAGCAAGGGGAAACTAAAGCGAGGACCAAAACATCGCCTAAAATAATGGCTATTAAAGCCAGTAGGCTTATTTTGGCTGCATTACGCTGATGTGGAGAGTTTGGAGTTTTGTTGGGGTTTCCAGTCACCGGCAATGAGCTTGGGGATAAAGCTATAACAGTTGGGTTTCGACCTGGCATTACCAACGACGCTAATGCCCTGTTGGATCCAGGTTTTGTCAGGTTACTCTCAATGCTCTTACATTTCTCCAATGGAGCTCCGCAAAGAGCTGCATTTTGAACCAAAGGTTGTAACTAGGAAACTCGATAGAGACTCGGGTATTTCACCTAAAGCTTGTTACCATGCGAATTCAGCCAAGAGGTTTTGGTTTGCGGTCACAACCTATTGTTGGAAGACGTAGAAAGCAATGTTTATCCATTGTATGTGCTGCTTCTGAAATAGATGTAGTGAAACAGATAAAAACTTGTGTGGATATGGGTTATGAACGTGTGTTCACTTTACGCATGCTCAACTAGACTTTTAACGATGTTATATCCAAGAGCTTCCAACTAACCACCATTACTATTAGCTGACCACCTGCATTAGACAAGGAAGAGCGAACTGCATTAAAGGCAACCAAAATAAATTAGTCCAAGCTCCGGTAACGCAAAGCAAAAGTCCTTACTAACTATGGTAAGAAATGCTTGAAACAGCTTACCTACCATAGCGTGCCAAAAGATTAGTTCGATGATATGCAATGGTAAGATTAAAGTCGAGAAAAGTAAAGCCACGATCAGCTCCTGCAGGACTCCATTTCTTCACATCAACGGAGACACGTCTCAGAGTGCAAAACAAAGAAACAAACATGTTTCTGTTTAGGGAATCACCAACAAACCCTACACTGTTGAATATTGATTAAGGGAAAGTGATAAAGCACAACATGATCTCAACGTCCAGTACAACACATCTAAAGTTTATTTCTTTTATATATCAGAACCCTAGTTGCTTCAATTAACTCCTAAAACATACTAACAAGCAACTCAATTATGCTGGTACTTTCACTAATTGAGAGAGAGAAGAAAAGTACCACTATTAGTATCTCTATAAGTGTGAAGAAACTGGAGCGGATCGAACGGAGGAAGATGACAGTTGCGAGGTTTCCATAGCCACTGTGCAAGAAGAAGAAGGAAGAAGGAAGAATGAATAAGAAAGAAAGGAGGAAGAATGAATAAGAAAGAAAGGAGGAAGAATGAATAAGAAAGAAAGAGGAAGAAGCAGAACTGGGGGAGGGGGTATTGTTTTATCGGAGTTAACATGCAACGTCAGCAAAAATCCACGGGATGTAACTGTAGGGACCATTTTGAAAACAAACTAAAATTTTAATGATTATATTATAATTTTCAAAAGTTAGGTGACCAAAATATAAATACCCTAAAAGTTTGAGGACTATTTATATATTTTAACCTAATATATGATCATTTTTGTTTTTATTTAATTAATACGTGATCATCATGAATTAATTGTCATTAATAATTAACCGATTAAGTGACATGGAATATAATAATTGAAACTTGTAATATAATAATTGAACTTTTAAAAAATATAATAATTTAAATAAATTACACAACATAAATAAATATTGTAAAATAATTTTTAAAAAATAATTTTTAGGAAATTACAAAATCCATTTTCGTGAAACAAACGTAATTTAAAAGTCTTAATTTATTTGTACAATTAATTGTTTTGCTTATATAAATAGTCTTGATTTTATAAGGGCTTTAGGGATAGACACGTCGCCGTCCGCTTTAGATCGGTGGATGATCGATTATTGTTTCATTGTTCTATTTGAAATTAATTTTTTTTATTGTAATAGATATTTATTATATCTTCATACATATTATATGATAAAATTAATTGACTTTTTTTAATACGGTAGAATGAAAATTAAATAGCTAGACAGTAATGATGCGATTGACAGTAGTAGCAGGCAGTAGAGATGTTCATTGTTCGGTTAATATCGAATTAATCGTTCAAATCAAAATTTTGATAGGTTAATTTTGAGTTCGATCAGTTAACGGTTAACGATTTTCTTTAAATTTAACTTTCGGTTAATTCAGTTTGAAATTAGTTATTAACCGAATTAATCGAAATTACTAAATATTTAATATATATATATATATATTATTTAGTTTTAGGGGTGTTTGAACTCTGTTTTTACCGAATTATATCTTTCTTCAATTAAGATGTAATTTATTTCTACAAGTGTTCAAAATATGACCAATAAAGCAAAGAAATATAATTTGAAGATCCTATACGTTTCTAAATTCAATAATGATGCAAATAGGAAGATTTATTGCGATTCCGCCCAACTTTATCAATCGGTCACACTATCTAAAAGATTAATAATCAGATGATATATAATATCCGACTTCACATGATCCGGTGCACACGGTAACCGACACAAACAAAAAAAAATCAAATGATTCTAGTAATTACAGACGGAGAATGCGTCCTCTATTAGTTTCCACACCATTACTATCCCGCCCATATTTTCGGACCAAAAGCAAGTTTCTATCGAGGACCTCGGAGAATTGATTCCCACTGGGGATGGTAGGGGGCCACCCATGATTCGATGGGATGTGATTCACAACAAGGTTCCTCTGAGGATAGTTGAAACCAGAAGTTGGCTGCATTGGCCTTCTGGTTGCTTTAGCCGCTTTCTCAGCTCGAGGGCAAACGCCAAATTTTAAGGTACAGCTCTTACCGAGACGAAAGGGTGCATCGCAATTCGGACCATCCCCTCTCTTGTTTCGATAACCTGGATAATCTTCTATGTTAAAATCTACACACTGAATCAATGCCAGAAAGCTTGCATCAGCTAATTCCTTAAGATTCCATAGGCAATATGGAGGGCCGGTTTTATGGTTTACATGAATTTCGCCATCAACTCGTAGCATGCGCCGTGCATTCCAAAAGAAATGCTGTACAAGATCCCTATGTTTCCTGTATTAGTAGAACGAAATTGTGAAAAACATGGGGCGGAAGCCGAAGGCAAAACTAAGATGGCGTTTGGTTCGTTGGAATGTTTATGAGGGAATTGGAATCTGTGAAGGAATTGGAATCCAATTTCATATTCTGTTTGGTTAGCAAGAAATGGAATTGGAATCCAATTTCATATTCTGTTTGGTTCGCAGACATGTCAGATGAATTTGATTTTAGTAATATAAAATGACAGAATTACCTTTCTTGTTTTTTTGTTTTATTTTAATTTATTTTACAATTTACATGTAGTAATATATTATAAAAAATAAAAAAATATTAAAATTTCATTTTATTGATTGATTATTCATTTTAATAAATTATAAAAATCATGTTAATAAACATTGTAAGTTAAAATAATCGCAATCAAAATATGTTAATAAGTTACCAAAAGATAAAGCAATATTTCGATACATTTCAATCAAAGTATATTAATTAGTTACCAAAAAATATACCAAAAACTATTTTTATTTAATATATGAATTAGAAACTCGACCCGATACGATTCAAAATAATAAAAAATTATTTTTATTCAATAAAAACATTGACTTAATTGAAAAAAATTATATATATAGGGGTATTATTGTAATTATTCCTAAATATATAAGGTAAAATTATATATTTTTTTCGGGTCGGTCCGGTTTTTTCACCTTAAACCCAACCCGAATATCACACTTAAAAAACCCCGACCCGACCCGAATAAAATAAAGTTTCATCTGGCCGACCCGAATATATGAATTAGAAATCCGACCCGACCCGAAATAATAAAAAAATATTTTTATTTAATAAAAACAGTGACTTAATCCGACCCGACCCGAATTATATATATTTTCAGGTCGGTCTGGTTTTTTTTACCCTAAACCCGAACCCGACCCGAATACCATACTTAAAAAAAACCGACCCGACTCGACCCGAATATCACACTTAAAAAACCCGACCCGACCCGAACAAAATAAAGTTTCATCCGACCCTACCCGAATATATGAATTAGAAATCTAACCCGACCCGACCCAAAACAATAAAAAATATTTTTATTTAATAAAAACAGTGACTTAATCCGACCCGACCTGAATTATATATATTTTCGGGTCGGTCTGGTTTTTTTTCACCCTAAACCCGAACACGATCCGACCCGAATATCACACTTAAAAAAACCCGATCCAACCCGACCAAAATAAAGTTTCACCCGACCCGACCCGAAATAATAAAAAAATATTTTTATTTAATATATGAATAAATTACCAAATGATTGATGAAGGTAGTATGATCAAATTTCAATTCCTTCCAACAAGGGAATTGAATTCTATCCATTTTTTGATGGAATTCACTTTCCCTCATTTGATGGAATTGAATTCCATCAGGGATTCCAATTTCCTTGAAAAACTCGAACCAAATATGAAAAAGTGGTGGAATTTGATTCTAATTCTCACCAATTCCAAGAGATTCCATCCAACCAAACACCACCTAAATATTTCCATATGATCTCTTGATTCTTGAACACGAGCATCAAAATCTAATCTTACAGAAACAAAATAATGAAGCACCTAAATTTATGGTATAACTCCCTCCAAATTTAAAAGGAACAAAATGTTTGATCCCCCAAAACTCCTACGACGAATTGCAGAAACTGCAGCAATGAGACTTATGAGATTGCCCTTAGTCCAATCAACGGCGGATCTAGAATTTTTTTTTGAGGGTGGGACTGGACACATGCATATTAATAATATAAATTTTTTATATTTAAATAGATATGATAAAATTTCAGGGTAGGCACACATATATTAAGATAAAAAAACTTCGAATTCTAGAAAATTTCAGAGTGGGCACGTGGCCGCCCTAACCACCATGTAAGGAAGAAAAGCGAAAATGGCCCAAAGGAATACCGGTACACCACCATAATGTTGTTCAAACTCTTTGAAAAAACAGAACTCTCTATATGTAAACTTTAAGAAAACTATGATAGAACTAAAAAGGATAGCAAGGACATTGATGGCATGCATGAGCACAATATCCCAAAACACTAACTACACACGCAGGAACATGACAAAGCAATGCCAGAAACATGTATGAATTTGCAAAGAGGAAATTTACCCAATCATATCGGGATTATCTTCCTTTCCTTTAAATCCAGCATGTGGAAAGTTGAAGATGATTCGATCGAACTTTCGGTTGGCTAAGACAGGATGAAGCTTCATTGTGGCTACATTCACTCTATGTAGCAGGGTTGCCCCAAGCCTACTAAGTTTCTCCAAATTCGACGCTGCATTCTTGTACTTCTTCAAATCATCTAATGTAACCACAACATCAATAAAATGACATAGCAATACATTCACACACACACACATATAGTCTTAAACATTATTGGCTAAACCCTTTCTCGATTCTTCAAAAAAGATGCATAAAAACGCACATCAAATTTTTGGGGTTTGTTAAAATGATCAAAGTAATGAAACACTTTGCAAGGAGAAAGTAAAGTTGTTTTATACCATAGGAGTCTAGAGAAGTAGCACAAATGTTGGAGGCAGAGGCGAAAGCATTGGCCAAACTCAAAGAGAAAGAGAAATCCCCTTCACCAACTAAAAGTATTTGATGGTTTGATGAATAGTGAGTGATCCACTTCTCGTTCATCGGCTCTCTGGTTGCCATCAGACTTCAAAGGCCACTCCTTTTCGATTTCATAAACACTGATAGGCTAGACCCTGCCTTCACTCTTTTAACTTACCTATAATCCTTAAAAAAAAAAAAAACTTACCCTATAAGTTATCGGGGAAAATAAAAAGAATAATGAAAATATAATACTTTCCTCCAATTTTTCATTAACAAGGTGGTGGTCCTGGTAGTATAGTACCAATTATCATCTTTCTTTCTTTTTTTCTGATTAATCAATTATCATCTTTCTTTCTTTTTCTGATTAATCAATTATCATCTTATTAAATGTATTAATTTATTAAAAAATAATATGTGGGAATGCCACGTCAACTTTCGTTATCCGTTTGGTGATTGAAATGGAACTTCATTAATGATGATAACCTTAATGAAAGTTTTTCAATTTTAACAACTAAAATGAGAGCATCTTAAAAGTTCATTTACCACCAATGTAATTTACCCTAATAAATAGCATCTTTCTTCTTTTTCTACGTACAAATCTGTTGGCTATGATTGTTTTGTTCAACAATGCCTAATGTAACTAATACTCTAATTATATTATACTACCTTTGTCCTATTAAAAATGTTCCTTATTGATTTTTTTACCTTTGTCCTATTAAAAATGTCCCTGATTAATTTTTTAAAATTCATAATATTTAAATTTTGACCATAATTATTTTAAATATTAAAAAAAAATAAAAGGACAACGAAAAATCAGCTTACCCTGCCTTTTCTTGTTTTGAACAGTATTGCATATGATTAGAGGGGAAAGGGTAAAGTGTAGAGTGAACTCTGCTTGGATTTCTTCATCACGAAGTTTTTGGAGTTGAGTTCCTTTATGCCAAAGGAAGAAAAACTTTCCTTAAGCTTATATAACACCCAAAGAATCAAAATCAACTTAGAAATTCAATAAATAAGCAATTATAACCCAACTCACCTTTGCAATGAATCTTACAGGAAGAAGAAGAAAACAAGAGGAAAAAACTTCCAGATCTGTCCCAAAAACCCACGTGTTTAACTCTTAATAAAGGAAACCAAAATATCCTTTAAGCTATAAAAACCATAATACCCTTCATTCCTTCCATAATTACCATATCATTTAATACCAAAATATTCATGTTTAAATCCTTGAACTTATAAATTTTCCTAAATTGATGACCAAATTTCAAAAACTTTCATTTTAGTCACTAGCTCGGTTTTTAGGATGTTACAAATCTCCCCCTTAAGAAAATTCGTCCTCGAATTTTCACTTCACCACGAGATGGAGCAATTCACCTTATACTCATACTACTAATATGATACTCATATACATTTCTCATACCATATATAATTCAACATAACTTATTCACTTGAGAACCACACCCTACTAATTAATCTCTAACAGTTCATTACCTATCACTTCAAATCAAATCTTCCAATTCTCCTTTTAATTACCACTAGCATATAACTATGTTGACCCCCATACTATCAAAACCTAAACTAATTTACTACTTTATTGAAATTTACCTGCAATAATCTTTGGATCCTCGAAATCTTCATCGGTCCTTAAATTATAAACCCAAGCAGCTGGGTGCATATCATGTTGAGTGAATGACTCAAATTGATTTCTTCCACGACCTCCACTTATACTTCTCTGAGATACCATAACAGATCGCTCTCTCTGTACAGTCTCCTCATTAAAAAACAGACAATCTCGAATAAAATGTCCCATATCCCCACATTTAAAACAAGCTCTTGAAACCACTCGACATACTCCCGTATGATTCTTTCCACAATATGAACATTGTCTGAATTGACTTATATTTGATCTTTTAGCCGAAGATGCAGCTGATTCAAACATATTCTGAGTTTGAAAATCCAAATCTCTACTTTTCTTTGATGGCGATGAACTCGACGAAATATCAATTCTCTTAAACTTCTGAAATTTCTGCTCTTTAAATCTCTCATTCTGAGCTCTCTCTAGAGCTTTAGCTCGATTAATCACCTCTTGAAACGATGACAAATTCAATGCTAACAATAACTCTTTTAGCCTAGGGCGCAAGCCCTCCACAAACCAATCACAAACATCCTTTTCGGTTGGCATAAGCTCAGCAGCGGAACAACTTAACTTATTAAACTCACATTCATATTCATATACCGTATAATCCCCTTATTTGAAATTCAAAAATTCTTGCTTCATCTGTCTGATAAATTGGTCCCCAATGTACTTACGTTAGAATTCTTCTAAGAAGAATGACCATGTCACTTGATCACTTCTCAATCTTATGGTGACATTTGTCCACCATACCCTAGCTTGACCACGCAACATAGAAACTATTCCATCCAATTTCTCCACTTCAGAGCAATGAAGTCCATGGGAATTTTGAGAGATATTTATTTTCGACGAAGATGGGTGGTGATGGTCAGAACGACAACCGGCATGGTGACCGAAATCTGGTAGAAGATAGAATAAAAATGATTTTTTTTTAATTTTTAATTATTTTTAATGATTAAAAATATTTAAATAATCCACATCATGACGTCGTTAAAAACTTAACGGCCGAGTGACAAAAAAGTTCGTAGTTTAAAATTTAGTCCGCAAATTGAAATAATTAAAAGTACAATAAATGAAATAAGAGAGAGAGTAAAGTTAAGTGAGTAAGCATGTAATTTACCCTATTATTATTGAATGGACATAGTAGAATTGATACAAAATTAGAAATAAAGTATGATTTTTTTTGTCCACTCTTACGGTACTGAAGAAACGTTGATGGATTGTCTTCCTGTATATAACAACAAAAAATAAGTATAATAATAACACAATTGTAAAGGTCAATAAATGATAATCTCATTTTTTTTCTATCACCGAAACTCTTTTAAAGTAAAAAAAAAATAGTTTATAACTTTAAAAAATTCAATTAACACAAAAATTATTTCAACATATTTTAGTGATTCATTTTTATACCAACACCGTGGTCGCTGTTTTGTTTAAAAGATAACAAATCTAAGTGTGTTTAAACACATAATAAATTTTTTATTAATTAAACATTATAAGTTCTCGAAAATCTGTGTTTATAAATGTTTTAATGGATAAATTGATTGAGCAAATATAAACATAAAAGATTAAAAATATTTTTGTCATTTTTTATAACTATAATAAGAGTGGAATTAAACAAAATTACCGATAGATTAATTTTAAAAAATTAAAAATATAAAATAATAATACAACAAACCTCCTACCACTGCAATAAGCCAAGAGCAGAGCTAGCAAGAACCGGGGAAATCTAAAACGGGAAAAGGCCTTAAACTAAGCCCCACTTCGTGGGTACGACGTGGCTTTCGAGGCTGAGTTGAGTTGCCGAGTTTTACCTCATCGCTACGCGACAAACTCGCTTTGACGTCGTCTTCTATTCCCTTTCTCTTTGGGGAATTCGAGCGCTTTCATGCAACGTCCCTCTTTCCATTATTTTTTTATTAATATCTCATTTAATAAATTAACAATCAATTTATATAAACGTTAATTTTTAATAAAAAATAAAAGATTTTAGAATATATGAATAATTAAATTATCATTTTATAATTTTTAATAGTCGATGACTTAACAAAACTAAATCTTAGTCGAAAGATCATTTTATAACTTTTAATAGATTCAACAAAATAATACCCTATAATCAGCGGAGCTGTCTCGAACATTTTCGAGACAATAAACAAAAACTAAAAAATAGGCCTTATTGAACGAAAGTATAATCTTAAACAATTAATTTAATATTGTAAAAAATGATTATACTTTTTGTGTACATTGGTTTTATTATTTGGTTAAAAAATACTTTAAATACAAATAAAAGAATAAAAAATTGAATGTGGGTATGAATTATGATATGAAGCTTGATTTTGAATAATAAATTAAAAAAATAAAGAATAACATATTATGTTAACGTTAGATTGAGAGTGGAGAAGATTAAGAGTTAAAGAATAATTTACAAAAAAAAAAGAGACAAACATGATTAGATTTAATTCAAAATTAAATGAATTAACGAGAGAAATTGAGAAAAGGATGAGAAATTTTTGAAATTGAAAAAAATATATGCTTTAATTATAAAGGTATAAATTCATATTGAAAAAAATTAGTTATAAATGTATAATTAAGATTGAAAAATTTAGGGGCCTCAATTATAAAGGTAGAAATTGAGATCGAAAAAACTTATGGACCTCAATTATAAATGTATAAAGTGAGATTGAAAAAACTCAGGGGACTCAATTATAAAGTTAACAAAGTGAGATTAAAAAAATAAGGGACCTCAATTATAAAGGTAGAATTTGAGATTAAAAAAACTTAGGGGCATCAATTGTAAAGGTAGAAAAGGTACAAGTGAAATTGAAAAAAACTTAAGGGTCTCAATTATAAAGTTAAAATGTGAGATTAAAAAATCAGGGGCCTCAATTATAAAGGTAAAAGAGGAAATTAAAAAATTTAGAGACTTCAATTATAAAATAAAAGGTGAGATTGAATAAAATTAGGACCTCAATTATAAAGACAATTTTTTTTTTGATTAGGGGCTTAATTACAAAAATGAAAATATAGGGGCCCTAACTACAAATATGAAAAAAATGGGAGGCCTGAACAATCGCTCAGGACGATCCCCTAATAGCCTGTCCTAAAAATTAAAGGACTATTTGTATACTTCACTCGTTCTAATATTAAATGAATTTAAAAAATATTAATCAAATAATATCTAAATCTACCTAAAACATTGAATATTTACTATTTTCGTCTATCCATTCACCGACATCGTTGTCGTCGTTCAATTCCCTAATCTTAGTACTCAAACCATTAATCCTTGATTCCTTCCCCTTCAAATACTCTTCTCCCATTACGTTGAAAACCCGTCGTCGGCAACAATAGGAGAGAACCCACCACTATCAAATTCATGAATTTAATATTATTTCTCTATTTTTGTTCATGCAATTTTTGTTCCGTCGTCTTTCTTCCTTTAGACGATCAAGTTATGATTCATTATTTTTGAAAAATGATGTTAAAATAATATTGGGTAAAGTATACAAATAGTTATCCAACTATCGGGTATTGTTTCACCAAGTCTCTTTATTATTAAAAGTTACAAAATGATCCTCCGACTATAGAATATTGATTTGTTGAGTCTCTCAACTATTAAAAGTTACAAAATGGTCATCTGACTATTCATTATGTTCCAAACTCATCATTTTCTATCAAAATTTGACGGCAGTATGAGTTGAACGTTAATATATTGACTGTGATATGATACAATATGATCCCATAATCTCAAACGACTACCATATCTCAATCATTATGTTAACGTTCAACTCAGACGACAATCATTTTTAGTAAAAAGGACGAGTTTGGAACATAATGAATAGTTGGATGACAATTTTGTAACTTTTAATAGTAAGGGGACCCAACAAAGCAACACTCTGTGAGGACCATTTTGTAACTTTTAAAAACAGAGAGACTTGATAAAACAATACCCTGTAATCAAAGGACCATATGTATATTTCACCCACAAATATTTTTAGAAACTAATTTTATAAAGTGTACTTTAATAACAGAAAGAAATTTTAAATATTTTTTTAAAAGTAAATGAGGTTTGTTTTTCATTTAAAATTAACAATTAATTCTTCTTTATTTTTTTAAAAATACACTTTTTAAATAAGAAAAAAGGTTCGCTCAAATTTTCAACAGACATAGGTATCCAAGTTCCAAGGAGACAGCCAACAAACAAGGATGGTTAGGTGGCTAGTTACCAAACAACCACCTCTTCTCTTTGCATTCCGAATCATTGAAAGAAACAAAAGCTCAAATCTCGGGCTCACAGAGATCAGGGCCGAGACACATTTGGTATTTGAAAAATTGCCTTTCTTAAGAATCTCCGCTCTCTTCCCTTTCTCTTCATTTGTTGGACGGTTGTTTCCTCTGTTTTATACCAAAAAAACGAACAACACTTTCGATTTCTTTTACCACTCTTCA